CCGCCATGCGGACGGGCGCTGATGCAGCAACGTGAGCAACGCGGCGGGCAGCTGCTGACCGCTGCCATGCCACCGCTTCCATGCCTCTGTCTGGGGCGTTTTGCTGTTGCTTCGTGCCCGCTACGAGGCCGGCACTGTTGCCCGCGCACGGCGCCCGGAACATACGAGCTGCGGGCGCTCCCCCGCCCTCATCCGCCGCGGCGACTCACCCGTGCGCCCCAGAGCCTGCCGCCCGCCATGCGGCCGATGCCGCGCACTTGGCCGGTCTCAGACACAAACTGGCCCACCAGCTCGCCCTCGCCGTCCGCGCCCTTTGCAAACTGGACGTCGCTGCTGAAGGCAATGTCCTCCAGGATGAGGCCGCACTGGGGGCAGGCCGCAAAGCCGCCCGCGGCGTCGTTCTCCGCCTCGACCTCATCCTGGCACTGGCGGCAAAACACCATTGCGGTGGCGCCGTTGGCGCGCCGCCACGCGGGCGCCGCTTGCGTGCAACGTGGTCAGGGCAGCGGCACGGCTAGCAGCGGGGGACGCCTTGGGCGCCGACGCTCCCTAGCTGCACAATGCAGGAAATCTTTTGTGTTCCAAGCGCTGCAGGCGCTTGCGTGAACGGCTCGACGCCGCTGCTGTTCCCCGCAGCGGGTGCAGCACTGCAGCGTTGTTGCCGCCGTCCAATCGGAGTGGCGCAGGCCGCGTCCCCGGACAGCTTGTCTGCTTAGACGCGCGTTGTCTAGCACAAAAGGCTTGAGCGAAGTTGCAGAGGGGGCGCTTTGCAGAAAGGTGAAAGCCACTGGCCGAGCACCGAGACAATGGGAGGTATCGGTAGACAGCCGCCTGATATTGTTGACTCGGATTCCACGAAGAACAACTGAGCAACTTAGCTTGGAAAGCTGCTGCTTCCTCTGAAGTCACCTTGTGAAGCACTGCACTTGAAGCGCGTCTTGGGCACGCGCACGCACTGTACGTCGCCTTGTTTTATTCTCTTCAATTAGGAAATTGTTAGGCAGGCGAGAGGACGTAGATCGGTAGCAATTCGTATTTGTAGCCTGGCTTGAGCCGTGGAGATGGCGCAGTCCACAGTCTGCCCCACACTGCGGACGTTGTGCATACAGACGCTTTCAAGGCATACGGCGCGCCTCGGTGAGTGCACGAGGGCTGTGGAGCGGGAGGGAGCTGGTCGCAGCAGCTGACGCGGCGCGCCCACCCCTTGCTTGCTGCAAGCACATCGTTGCACGGGCCCTACCGCTTGCGAGCTAGACATAGGCAGCTGGCACCATCACATACAGCAGCATGAGGGCTGCACACAGGGCATCCAGCGTCAGTCAGCCTGCTGGCACCCACACACCGGTTGCCGCCCGTCCTGCCCCCCGCAACGACACGCCCTGGGCCCCCCTCAACCCTCCCGGCCCTCCCGAACCCCAGGCGACGTTGGGTGGCTGGAGACGCAAGACCTGTGTGCCATACTGCAGTACTGTGGCAGCGCGGACGAGCTCGCGGGCATTGAGGACGAGACGCGCTATGGCAGCGACCGCGACCTCACTTGGTACACCTGGTGGGTGCCGCTACCCCCTCAGCACGCCCTCGGAAAACGCGCCGCGCCAGGCACGGCCCCGGCACACGTGCGACAAGAAGCGGCTTCTGGGTTCGAGGCACAGAGCGCTGCCGAGGCGCCCTCGCGAACGCCGCTCTTGGCCGTCTCACTCGACCCCTAACACGACTCGGCCTGCCTTGGGCCCCCTCGGCCCCCCTCGGCCCCCTCGGCCGCGCCC